AGCATGGTCAACCAACCTTTTTGCTAATGAACCTGGCGCGACCCTAACTAGGAGGAAGCCTATTGCATGGACGCATCGCTGGGCGCATCGCTTTGCATCGCTTGGAACTGCTTGGCATCGCTTGGCATTGCGTGGCATTGCTTGGCATGGGTTGACATTGCTTGGCATCGGGTTGGCATTGGGTTGGCATTGCATGGCATTGCTTGGCAGTGCTTGGCATTGATTGGCATGGTTTGGCAAGGTTTGGCATTGCTTGGCATCGCTTGGCATTGCTGTACATTGCTTGGCATTGCTCTGCATTGCTTTGCATTGCTTGCCATTGCTTGGCATCGGGTTGGCATCGGGTTGGCATTGCTTGGCATTGTGTGGCAGTGCTTGGCATTGCTTGGCATTGCCTGGCATTGCCTGGGGAGAGGAACCCGAGGAACCAGGGGAACCTCCGAACAACAGGCAAAGTAGCGTCCCGAGACACCGAGGGAGAGGAACCCAGCGAACCCGAGGAACCCGGGGAACCTCCGAGCAACAGGCAAAATAGCGTCCCGAGGCGCCAATGTTTCACCAAGTAAGAACCCCTTAGGCAAACCTCATGATAAAAAACTGAACCAAATCGACACACACACACACATCTCATCGCAAGCGAATGCCGAAACGAAGCAAAACCCTCAGGTTTCATACGGGTTTCAAGATTGAGCCCCCCGAAACATGGACCAACGAAGAAGGTGATACCCACGTCAATATTCAAACGTGCGCTCTTGCAAATCCGAAGGTAAACCAGACGTTGTCCAACTGGTTCATCAAATTCGACCTAGCGGGCCCCTCGCGCACGCATGTCGAAATCATTCGAACGCGTTTTGCGCGCTTGCTGGGGGGAGGGTCTATCCTTGTCAAAAAACGCCATAAGGGGCACTCGCCCGCGTCGGCCGCACGCGAATGTCGAAATCCTTCCAAGCTTTCATCACCGACACGTGGACATCATCATCGTCACCGGCGTGACCACCATCGGCGCCGTCATTGGCATTGCAACCGTCATCGTCGTCATCGTTACCAGCATCGTTACAATCATTATCGTGTGTGCCGCTGTCGGCGTCGATATGATACCACGGCCGCCCGAATCACCGACTCGCCCTGAAGTGCCAGCGGTTCAACGCGGCCAACGCGGCCTGCAAGATGCGCTGAGAAAACCCAGCAGCCAGCGCCACCGCGGCCGCGGCGGTCGCGCCAGACGAGCTGGCCGCTGTGCGCAAGAGCCTGCCCACGTCAGCGAGGCCGCAACGACGCGCCAGCCAACGCCAAGCAATCGCCGCAATCGCCGCTAATATGGGTTTTGCAAACCAAGTTGCGGGTGGTCGGGTGGGATGGTTGCGCGAGCAGTGGAGTTGACAATTTCAATTTCGGCAAGGCGAAGCGTACCACACAAAATGGGCGCCACATAGATTGCAGCACGTATCGAGCACCACTGGTTGCCCAACATACACTGCACAACGTGTATTTATAGATTGCAAAAGCTGCGTTCTCCTTGCAAATAAGAAATATGATCTACCTCCACTTCCCAATCCCCCCCGGACTTAACGGTATACTTCTTCGTACTACATCCTAAATTTGAATTCGTACCATCCCAGCCAGTCCAGTATCGACCCCCTCTTCATCCTCATCACATGGTCTATGATATTTCGCAGAAAACGGAACGAAGTGCACACGCGCGCGTCGTCGCGCGCGCATGCCGGAATCCTTCAAACAATCCAGGTTTCGCAAGGAATTCAAGATCGAGAATCACGAGAACAATGTCTTGATGATTTCGCAACAGGGTGTTTTATGCATTTTCGTGTTAGATAAGTTTGTTGTGCCCGCGCCGAGTTCTTCAATACTTTTCCATAAAATGCTATACAAAACGGGCCTCTCGCGCGCGCATGTCGAAATCGTTCGAACGCCCTTGCGCGCGTGCCGTCGCAAGAATACCTTTTCAACAAATCAAAAGTGTCGCATGGATTTCAAGCACGAGCGACCCGAAAACAAATCAAACAAACACATGGCTTTACAACATCAATTATCAAAAAAACCTGCGCTCGCGGCCCTGCGTATTCTAAGAGAGACCACAGGTTTTTCCACATGTCCATCGAATTCTGGCAACCGGACCCCTCTCGCCGCATGTCGAACTCCTTCGAACGCCCTCGCGCGCGTCCTGGGGGGGTCACGATCCGTTTCAACTAATACCACGCGGGCCACTCGCGCGCATCGGCCGCGCGCGCATGTCGAACTCCTTCAAGAACCTTCAACGCCGACGCGAAAACAACGTCATCGTTACTGGCGGGCGCGATCAACATCGGCGCCGTCATTGGCCTTGCGGTCGTCATCGCTCTCATCATAGTGTCCATCGTGGTCGGCGTCGCCATGCTATCGCGCCCCAGTCACCGACTCGCCCTGGAGTGCCCGCTGGGAAATGCCCAACGGTCAACACCACCACGGCCGCGTCGGTCGCGCCGAACTAGCTTGCCGCTGTGCGCGCGAGCATGCGCGGGCTAGCGCGGCCGCAGAGATGCACGAGCCAACGTCAAGCGCTCATCGCACTCGCCGCCGTATGGGTTTTGCAAACCAAGTTGCGGGTGGGTGGGTGGGATGTTTACAAGGGCGTGGAGTTTGCCAACTCGTTTGCTTTTTTATAACAAAAAATGCGCCACACAGATTGCACCACATAAGTTGCATCACATCGATTGCAGAGCGTGGACTTTCCGCTCTCAAAGAGAATTCGGATCGTGTCCCCCGTAACGATAACCCCTGGGGCTGAGCAGTGTACATATGATCCTGCCACATCGCCAACCCTGAATATCAAATCCGACTATCGCAACCAAGCCGGTGTCGACCCCCTCCCCCCCCCACCTTCGCCAAACAATATTACCGCATACTCGTTTATCACAAATCATCAGTTTTCAAGAAGCCTTTACACTAAGCCGGTGCTAACTGCACACGCGCGCGTCGTCGCGCAAGCATGCCAAAATCTTTCAAAAACCCGACGCGCAGAAAGGATGCCGAAATCGAGCACCCCGAATGCAATTAAAAGACGAACTGTTTTGCAACATGGCTTCTCACACGGGTTGTTCAAAATTTACCTCCCATGCGATCCAGCGGGCCACTCGCGCGCGCGCGTCGCAATCATTCGAATGCCGCTGCGCGCGCGCGCCTGGGAGGGAGAGCGCGACTCCTTTTTCAAATAATACCATGCGGGCCGCTTGCGCCTGTCGGCCGCGCGCGCACATCGAAATCCTTACAAGACCTTCATCGCATACACGCGGGCGCCATCATCGTCATCGGCGTGACCAGCATCGGCGCCGTCATTGGCCTTGCCGTCGTGGTCGTTATCGTCGTCACCAGCATCGCTAGCATCATAATCGAATCAGCCGTTGTCGACGTCACCATGATACCGCGCCTGCCCGAATCACCGACGCGCCCTGAAGTGCCCGCGCGTCAGCGCGGCATGCGAGACGCGATGGGGAGTTCCCAGCGGCCACCGCCACCGCGGCGCGTCGGTCGCGCCAGACTACCTGGCCGCTCTGCGCGCGAGCCTGCGCGCGCTAGCGCGGCCGCGGCGATGCGCCAGCCAGCGCCAAGCAGTCATCGCAATCGCCGCCGCCTGGATTTTGCATACCACGCTGCGGGTGGGTAGGTGGGATGGTTGCGCGCGCAGTGGAATCGACAACTTCGAATTCAGCAGGGTAAGTTGCACCACGTAGCTTCTCTTTAATAAGAGAATCATGAACTACCCCTCCCCGAATTCGCGATCCACCGCTTCGTATTGCAATGTACACATGATTCTGCGCCATCGACCATCCTAAGTATGAGCCCGTACCATCCCAGCCCAGCCGGCACCGACACCCCCTTGCAATCCTTTGCCAAGAGAATACCATACGCGCACTCACTTCTCGAAACCCCCTCAGTTGTCAAAAAGCCCTCTGTACCCCCCCCCAAAAAAAAAAAAAAAAAAAAAAAAAAAAAAAAAAAATGACGAAGTGCACGCGCGCGCGTCGTCGCGCGCGCATTCCGAAGTCCTTGAAAAACCTTGGGTTTCGCAAGGGTTTCAGAATCGGATGCCCCGAAAGAATATAAGAATCACACGGCGTTGTAACATCATTTCTGCCCCCACCAAATAAACGCGATCGCGTTCATGCGGAGTCTTCAATAAACCATCGGCTCTCCAACATGTCCATCCAATTCCGCCAAACGGACCCCTCGCGCCGCATGTCGAATTCATTCGAACGCCCTTGCGCGCGTGCTGGGGGGGGCGCGATCCATGTCAAAAAATACAACGCGGGCCAATCGCGCGCGTCGGCCGCGCGCGCATGTCGAACTTCAAAACCGTCATCGCCGACTCGAGGACATCGTCATCGTTATCGGCGGGCGTGATCAACATCGGCGCCGTCATTGGCCTTGCCGTCGTCATCGCCACCTTCGTCACCATCGCAACTCTCATAATCGTGTCTACCGTTGCCAGCGTGCGTCGCCATGATACCGCGCCCGCCCAAGTCACCGACTCGCACTGAAGTGCCCGCTGAGAAATGCCCAACGATCACCGCCAGCTCGGCCGCGTCATTCGCGCCAAACAAGCTGGCCGCTGTGCGCGAGAGCATGCGCGAAAACAGAAAAGTTGCGCATTGTGATCGCTGCTCTCCTGAAAGCAGATAGTTCTGGCACGCAACGACTTTTCTACTCAGTAACAAGACAACGCAGAATTACGCTAGACGGGCACCTGACAGAATTTGTGTACGTTTGGAATACGAGATCGAGCGACGACGGCGACAACGACAACGACGACGACGACGACGACGACGACGACGGCGACGACGACGACGGCAGCAACGACGACCGACGACAGCGACGACGACCGACGACAGCAACGACGACCGACGACAGCGACGACGTCAACGACGACCTCTGCGCCGCTGCCGCTGGGGGGGGCCGCCGGGGGGGTCGCCGCGGCGGTCGCCGCGAGCGCTCGCCGCGCGCCGCTCCTGCGCCCCGCCCCCGCCGGCGCCGACCAGCGCCCCGGCCGCCTGCGCGTCGAGCTGCTGCATCTGGGCCTCGCGGGGCGCGCGCCGGGCGCGGAGCCTCGCGGCGGCCTCGCGGCGGCCTGCGCGGTGCCCTCCAGCTGGCCCAGGCGGCGGGCTCAGGCTGGCCTCGGCCTCAGGCACCCTCACACGCGACGTTGCAAGAAATTGCCAGATCGCGAAAAGTCGCGACCAGAACCCTGGACCCCAGACCCCATCTTTCTGCATCATTTTTCGAGCTGGATCGATCTGTGAGGCCCCCAGGGCCCGAAACCGGGCGAAATCGCCCGTCGTGAAATAAGCTGCATCGCCAGGATCTGAGGGCTCGTAAGATTAGCTCAGGATACGTTCCAAGAGTTCCAAAGCACCTCGTTTCTGGAAGCCGTGGGGAACGTGCCGGAAATTGCTGGGACATGAGACAGCCTGCCACGCGCAAGAGCGACCCTGGGCAAGGTTGAACTTTGGTGCGCGGCTTCTCGGAGGAGGAGGAGGAGGCGGAGGAGGAGGCGGAGGAGGAGGCGGAGGAGGAGACGGAGGAGGAGGAGGCGGAGGAGGAAGGAGGGAGGAGGCGGAGGAGGAGGAGGAGGAAGAGGAGGAGGAAGAGGAAGAGGGGGAGGGGGAGGCGGAGGAGAAGGAGGAGGAGGAGGGGCGCGCAGGTCCTCTGGCGGCCTGCCTCTGGCGGCCCGCGCGTGCCTCTGGTGAGGGGCAGCGATGGGGGCCAGGGCCACGCTGACGGCGGCGTTGGCGAACGGCGACGTCAGGAAGAGACTTCTTTGCGACGCCGAACTCGCGCAGAGCAAACTGTGGGAAAGCACGGCCAGCGCTTTCCTACAACTTTGTTGGCCACGAACCACCCCCACCTAGGATGCCGAGACCTGCGTCGCCGCTACCTACATCGCCGTTGGCGTGTCTATGAAGAGGGATGGGCAGCTCAGGGGGCGGAACCTCGACCTGGGATCGGCGATACAACTCTGATGGGTCGGCGCCAGGCCCCTGATAGCGAATCCGCACGGTCCTGGCCGGGGTGGGCTGTCGAGCCCCCTGTCGGCGATCAGTGGGCGATTGGGGTTGGATTCGTCCCCCCCCTGAGCCCATCCTGCCCTAGCGTTGCCCTGGCGGCGCGCAGAGGGGGGGCAGGGGGAGGGGGGAAGGCTTCTTAGAAGGAGGCTACTTCTTAGGAAGGCGCCAGCCCTGTATCTGTAGACACGGCCCGCGCCTTCTAAGGGCAGGGGTGCTTCTAAGAAGCCTCCCCCCTCCCCCATACCCCCTCTGCGCGCGGCCGATTGCCCCTGATCGTGCTGGCCCAGGCGGCGGCAGCAGCGGCGGCGGCATCTGGCTGGCCTCGGCCACACGCAGGAGCGACCTTTGGTGCACGGCTTCTCGGTGGGCAGTGGGGGAGGGGGCCAAACCGGAGAGCGCCGCTGCTGTCACATCCCGTTCAGCCATCTGGGGACCATTCGAGGTTCAAAGACAAAAACTCGAACCCACCCACCCACCCTGTGGGCCGCTCGAGGCAAACTGAACACGTGAAGCAACCAGAAAAAAGGTTTCGCCAGCCTTGGCCGGGTCGACCCTGGGCCCAAGGCCGCTGCGTGTGCACCCCTGGAGGCGAGCCAGGAGGGCGTCTTCGCCCACTCTGGGCCCAAGACGGGCCAGGCCCAGTCAGGATCGGAGAGGTGGATATGTGACGCCCCGGACCCTTGCGCTATCCCTTGGGGGTGGGGACATGGTTATCCCTTGCGTTGTCCCCTGGGGGTTACTGCGTTATCCCCTGGGTAAGGCCGCGGGCCGCGGCCTTGCCCAGATTCCCGACGGCATGACTTGTTGCTGCTGACGTCGACCCCCTGGAGGCCTCGACCCGCTCACCAGGGCCGGCCCCTCGTCCTGGGTCGCTTCTCGACGGCCCGGAGGCCCGGCGAGGGCCCGCAGAGGCCGACAGCGGCAGAGAGGCCTGCCGCCGTGCCTCTCTCGTGACTCGAGGGGGCCCGTGCACGGACTGCCTGCCAGACCACCCCAACCCAACCCGAAGACCCGAATTTCGGGTTGGGTTTGGGTGGAGGAGGAGGAGGAGGAGGAGGAGGAGGAGGAGGAGGAGGCGAGGGAGGAGGAGGCGAGGGAGGAGGAGGAGGAGGCCGCGAGGGAGGGGATCTGCGTGGCGGAGCTGGGTTGGGCTGGGTTGGGTTGGGTCGGGGTACGGGCTTCACGTGACTCCCAATGCTCCCCGACCGGCCCTGGAGTCCGAAACCGGCGGCGCCCACAGGCAAGAAGTGGCGAAACTGATCCGTCCTGCGTGCTTCCATGCGCTCGAGGTCTAAGCTCCGGCGACCTGCGGCGGCCCTCGGTGGTCTCCGGCGGCCGCGGCCAGAGTCTGCGCGTGAGAGAGGCCAGGGGGGGCAGGAGGGAAGTTCGCGGAGGCTTGAGGATGTGCTTCCCAGTGCAGAAGAGCACCACAAAGCTGAAGTGCACTGTGCTCAAACACCACAAAATGCAGTCGACTGCGTGGGGAAGCAGCAGCAGCGACCGCCAGGACAGGCATCTGGGAGCACAGAGGAGGGCTGGGGAGCGGCGGAGCGAAACCCAGGATGCTAGGAAAGTGCCCGCGAGACACTGCAGCAGGAGGGGGACGAAAGGGAGGAGTGAGGAGGAGGAGCAGCAGCAGCAGCAGCAGCAGCAGCTCCCTCTCCAGGAGCGGCGGCCAGCTGGAGGTCGATCATCTGAATCATCTCCTTCGCCTGCCGCTCCTGCTCTGCCTCCGGCAGTCGCCAGGGCAGGGGGCGAGGGGGAGGATGCGAGGAGGACGGGCAGGAAAGCGAGGGCGAGGGCGAGGAAAGCGAGGAGGATACGAGGACACGAGGACACGAGGACACGAGGAGGATGCGAGGAGGAGGAGGAGGAGGAAAATACAAGAACGCGGGTAAGGAAAGCGAGGGGAGGATACGAGGACACGAGGGCGAGGGCGAGAATGAGGCAAGAGGAATGCATGGGCGAGGAGAGGCCGCAATTCCCGAGCGCGGGGCGCGGGACGGCTGCTGCGCGCGGCCGCCCATGCCGCCGGGGCGCCCACGACCGAGGCAGCATTCCAGCGCCTGTCGCGGAGGCCATCAATGCGGCGGCGAGCGAGGGTGGGAAACCTTTGCCCTGCTGGGCCTCGTCGTGGGTCGGCGACGGTCGATCTGAGGCCCAGCAGAGGTCGTGGCAGAGTGTCTGGCGGCGGCATCGCCCGCAGGGAATCGTCGACGCCAGCCCGGCCCCGCGGCTCTTCGGCGGCGAGCGGATGCGGATGCGATGCCTTCCTTAGCCCGTACCCCATTCACGCTTATTCCTCAGACTCCCCGCTCGCTCCCCAGCATCTCTCCCCGTCGCAGTCTTGCTGCGATTCCTGGTCATCCGCCCCCTCCTCCTTCTCTTCCTCCACCTCTCGGCGGCGAGCGAGGGGGGGAAAGTCCAGCCTTCTGACAGGTTTGCTGCGTCTTCGGGTCATGCTCTCCCGAGCTTCTCTGGCCACTTCCCTCCCTCGCTCACCGCCAAATGGTGGGCATGAGCATGCTGTCTTCCTACGCCCGTCCGGCACGGCACCGCCAGAGAACCGTAAGGGCAGAGAGACGGCAGGAGCAGAGGCAGGAGACCGAAGGCTGGACATCAAAGCAGCGAGACATCTTGGGTCTGCCGCGTGTGCTCGCTGCACGACCATCCACAAGCGTTTCATTGTGATAGTTCAAAGGAAGAGAAAATGACAAGAAACAGCATCATGGCGGAATGGCTTGGACAGATGTCGATGGCAAGGGGAACGGTCTCGTGCCAGCCGACTGCTTGCTTGTCTGCGGCGACTTGGGTCCAAGACGCGGTCGGGGCAGCCGAGCGACGCTTCGGGGCCAAATGAAGCACCGCGAGCGAAGGACAGGCGCGGAGGAGGGGGGGGAGAGCGCCGCGGGCGGCGGAGCACGCTCGGACCGCGAAGACACTGTACGGGTGCACCGGAGCATGAGCTTGCACGGGCAGCAGGCCGGGAGCGGCAAGGCGAAGCTTCGCACCAGTAGACGAGCGCGTTCCACTACTCGCAAGGAAACTATTCGCGAATGGCCTGGATCCGCCGGGGGGGGATCTACGAGAAATCACATAGAAACAGACGTGTTTTTTTCGGACGTTTGCGAGTAGGCACTTTGCGGGTAGTGGAACGCGCTCGGTGAATCAGGGTGCGACAAGTTCATGACGTGTTGGGGGCCTCAACTCCAAATTACGCCAAGCACAGGTCTGAGTAGGCATGCGACCGGGACTGTTCCTGGACCTGATCCGCCACGGTGCCCCCTGGCACGTTGAGACGTGCTAGAATGCCAGGTGCTGTCTGGCAGGGTTTCTGGGCCGAGCGAGCAGCAGAAGCTCCCCCAACCCAAGACTCATCCGAGGGCGCAGGAAGACGACAGGCCGACTGGTCGAGCGACGTGGGCCCGCGGCACCAAAAGCACGCAGGCTCAACATCTCGAGCTGCACGCTCGGCAAGATAAGCAGCACGCTCCACTGCAGGATCGCGCATGTCGTGGTCAGCCCTACATCCCCACGAGGTGGCCCACGGAGGTCTCAGAGACTTTCTCCGCAGCCGAGAAAATTCCACAAACAACGGTGTCATACCCACCCGCGTCGAGGCGCTGCTCAGTCCAACAGCCCGCTGAAATGGTATTTCGCGAAATACATTGCCTATCCGTCATAGTCAAGCTCCTTAGCCAAACGGGAAAGCTCCTTGCGAACAATCGTGAAATCACAACCTCCTTCAATACGGTATCCGTAATAATGCGCTGCACCTTGGCCCCATACAAACGACTCATCGAGAGTCGTCCATAGTGAATGCTGAGGACGCACTGCAAAGTCTGCCTGACCAGACTGGGTCTTGCTCCTCGGAGTCCTTCCGAAGAACAAGTGGAGTGGGTTGCCAACCTAACTGCAAAAGAACTGCCACGGCGGATGCGACTGGGCCACGCACCCGTCGCCAATCTCTGGTCCTGGGGGTCGAGGTGCGCTCGCAGACCTTACTCTTCCGAAGTTCAGCGGTGTTAACCTGCTTGCTACGCCTCAAAATGATTCCAAAGCTTCTCAAATCCAACTAAGCGTTCACGTCGCAGACAGTAGATCTGGCCATGTTTTTCTGGGCCGAAAATACGCCAGATGATCTCGAGCACGTACCAGCTTGCCAGCTCCCAGAAGAAACAGCGGCCTGCCTACGAACGCTCTGGACCTGCTGCGCCGATTTGCCAATAACAATATGACCTGGGGTGCCAACAGCTAAGACCCTGGCCTGTACAGCTTCGACGATATCATTACAGTGTTGGTAGGAGGAAGGAGGAGGAAGAGGAGCAGGAAGAAGAGGGGGAGGTGGAAGAGCGGGAGTAGGAGGAAGGGGGGGAGGGGGGAAGGGCAAGCTAGGTGCGCTCGCGTCATATCTGACATCCTACCCCTCCCTCCCATCCCTTACCATGGCGCAGATCCCCTCTCTACTCGCACAGTCGGATGTCGAGCGGGGCAATGATCCCCAAAGGGTACGCGATGCATTGTAGAGCACGGCATGGCATGGCGTAGACGAGCTCCGCGAAGCGTAGTATCAACCTAGCATTGCATTGCATGCCGTGGCATGGCACGGGAAATGGCGCCAGCGCTGCAGCGGAAGCACGAGTCGAAACGAGCGGAAGCGCGGAAATGAGGCCAGCGCTGCAGCGGGAACACGATTCGGAACGAGCGGAAGCACGCCAGAATCGGCCCGGGAGGCGCCAGAAGCAGAAATTGAGCATTGTCACCAAAAAAAAAAAAATGTATTGGAATGGCCCTTTTTCGGCGCCGCCTCGGCACTCGATTTTCCGGCGCCGGCCGGAACCGGCTCCGGACCCGGCCCGGGCGCCGGCCCGGGCGCCGGCTCGGGCGTCTGGCCCGGGCGCCGGCTCGGGCGCCAGCCCGGGCGTCGGAATCGGCCCGGGAGGCCCCCCGCCCCCCGGGCGCCGGAAGCAGAAATTGAGCATTTTCAAAAGACAAATGTGTATTGGAATGGCCTTTTTTCGGCGCCGCCTCGGAACTCGATTTTCCGGCGCCGGCCGGAACCGGCTCTGAACCCGGCCCGGGCGCCGGCCCGGGCGCCGGCTCGGGCGTCCAGCCCAGGCGCCAGCTCGGGCGCCGGCCCGGGCGTCGGAATCGACCCAGGAGGCCTCATGGGCGCCAGAAGCAGAAAATGAGCATTTCCAAAAGAAAAATTATCCCGGCAAAGCAACCTAACAGCGATGTGTAGAAGCATATCTGGAAGCATTCCCCTTAAGATTTAGGTGAATCCAGGTAGAATTCTGCTGTTCTCGCAGTCGCAGCCTCAGCCTGCCTCGGCTTGCCTCGGCCTCAGCCTCAGCCTGCCTCGGCCTCAGCCTCAGCCTCAGCCTGCCTCAGCCTCAGCCTCAGCCTCAGCCTGCCTCAGCTTCAGCCTCAGCCTCAGCCTCAGCCTCAGCCTGCCTCAGCCGCAGCTTGCCTCAGCTTCAGCCTCAGCCTCAGCCTCAGCCTCAGCCTCAGCCTGCCTCAGCCGCAGCTTGCCTCAGCTTCAGCCTCAGCCTCAGCCTCAGCCTCAGCCTGCCTCAGCTTCAGCCTCAGCCTCAGCCTGCCTGGGCTTGCCTCAGCTTCAGCCTCAGCCTGCCTCGGCATCAGCCCCAGCCTCAGCCTGCCTCAGCCTCAGTCTCAGCCTGCCTCAGCCTCAGCCTGCATCAGCCTCAGCCTCAGCCTGCCTCAGCCGCAGCTTGCCTCAGCCTCAGCCACAGTCTCAGCCTCAGCCTGCCTCAGCCGCAGCTTGCCTCAGCCTCAGCCACAGCCTCAGCCACAGCCTCAGCCTCAGCTTGCCTCGGCTTGCCTCAGCTCTGCCTCAAGCCTCAGCCTCAGCCTGCCTCAGCCTCAGCCTCAGCGTCAGCCTCTCAGCCTCAGCCTGCATCAGCCTCAGCCTGCCTCAGCCTCAGCCTGCAGCAGCCTCAGCCTGCAGCCTCAGCCTCAGCCTGCAGCCTCAGCCTGCCTCCGCCTCAGCCTCAGCCTCAACCTGCCTCAGCCTCAGCCTCAGCCTGCCTCAGCCTCAGCCTGCATCAGCCTCAGCCTCAGCCTGCCTCAGCCGCAGCTTGCCTCAGCCTCAGCCACAGCCTCAGCCTCAGCCTCAGCCTGCCTCAGTCTCAGCCTCAGCCTCAGCCTGCCTCGGCCTCAGCCTCAGCCTCAACCTGCCTCAGCCTCAGCCTCAGCCTGTCTCAGCCTCAGCCTGCATCAGCCTCAGCCTCGGCCTCAGCCTGCCTCTGCAGCCTCAGCCTGCCTCGGCCTCAGCCTCACAGTTGGCTCCGGGCAATCAAAATGTAGCCTGGGAATGGTGTTCTGGGAACACGAAGAACACGAAGTGGCCTACACTTGGCTCCGGGCATTCAAAATGTGGCCCGGGAATGGTGTTCTGGGAACACGAAGAACACGAAGTGGCCTACAGTTGGCTCCCGGCATTCAAAATGTGGCCCGGGAATGGTGTTCTGGGAACACGAAGAACACGAAGTGGCCTACAGTTGGCCCCCGGCATTCAAAATGTGGCCCGGGAATGGTGTTCTGGGAACGCGAAGAACACGAAGTGGCCTACAGTTGGCTCCGGGCATTCAAAATCATGCCCGGGAACGGTGTTCTGGGAACTCGAGGACCACGAAGTGCGTTACTGTTTGATAAAAACGAACTCCCAGGCATCCCCCCGGATCGCGCCCGGATCGCGCCCAGACCC